GTGAGGGGCCCAAAACTGAACACAGTACTTGAGGTGCGGCCTCACCAGTGCCGAGTACAGGGGCACTATCACCTCCCTGGTCCTGCTGGCCACACTGTTCTTGATACAGGCCAGGATGCCATTGGCCCTCTTGGCCACCTGAGCACACTGCTGGCTCATGTTCAGGCGGCTGTCAACCAACAGTCACAGGTCCTTTTCCGCCAGGCAGCTCTGCACGCACTCCTCCCCCAGCCTGTAGCGTTGCATGGGATTGTTGTGACCCAAGTGCAGGACACTGCACTTAGCCTTGTTGAATCTCATGCAGTTGGCCCCAGCCCAGTGATCCAGCCTGCCCAGGTCTCTCTGGAGGGCCTTCCTACCCTCCAGCAGATCGACACTTCCACCCAACTTGGTGTCATCTGCAAACTTACTGAGGGTGCACTCCATCCCCTCATCCAGATCATCAATGAAGATATTGAACAGGACTGGCCCCAACACTGAGCCCTGGGGAACACCACTCGTGACCGGCCGCCAACTGGATTGGACTCCATTCACCACCACTCTCTGGGCTCAGCCGTCCAGCCAGTTTTTAACCCAGCGTAGTGTGTACCCATCCAAGCCATGTGCAGCCAGCTTCTCCAGGAGAATGCTGTGGGAGACTGTGTCAAAGGCCTTACCAAAGTCCAAGTAGACAACATCCACAGCCTTCCGATCATCCACTAAGTGGGTCACCTTGTCATAGAAGGAGACCAGGTTAGTGAAACAGGACCTCCCTTTCATGAACCTATGCTGGCTGAGCCTGATCCCTCGGTTGTCCCGCACAGCGATCCAGCCTGTCAAGGTCCCTTTGTAGATCCTTCCTACCCTCCAGTAGAACAACACTTCCACCCACTTGGTGTCATCTGCAAACTTACTGAGGGTGCACTCAATCTCCTCATCCAGATCATCAATGAAGATGTTGAACAGGACCAGCCCCAATACTGAGCCCTTGGGAACACCACTTGTGACCGGCCGCCAACTGGATTGGACTCCATTCACCACCAAATAAATAACCTCTCTCAGTTCATTTCCAGCATTGAAGAGTAAATAAAATTTTAACTTGCAGTTGAGTATGCATTAATTATGAAGCTTTTAACGTAAGATGTGATTTAGAATCCATTCCGCTCATTGGATCTTTCCACTGGTAACTAAGGTCTTCATTAAAGACCATCTGAAGCCAACTGCAGTTTCCAACTACCTTAGCTGTTATTCAAGTAAATATAAATTTACTTCCTTGGGAATGCCAGGGCTTTTACAGTGAGATGGATACAACCAGAATTTGTGGTTCA